AAATAAAACAGATTCAAATAATATTGGTACATCTATAAACTCAATGCACAGTTTTAATCTTTATCCATTAATATAAAAACCTACAAGAATCACAACCCACAGCGCTACAATAACTGATAACATTTTCACAAATATAACAAACGGTGAGGTAATGATGGGTATTTTGACGACTGATGTAAGTGATCATTTACACATTTTCACAATTCATAGAAACGATCAATACAGAACAGAAGTAGTTACAATCAAGAAAAAAAAAACAATAAACGCATCAATTAAACCTCTGGATAAATTAAAGGACGATTTGGGAAAACAAAACTGGAACGATGTGTGTGTTGAAGATGTGAACAAAGGATGTGATGCATTTATGAACATTTTCAGAGCTCTGTATGAACAAAATTGTGTGCAGAAAATGTACACAAAAATATTGTTGATAAACCATGAATGACTAAAGGGTTGAGAAATGCCTCTAAAAAAACAATTACTTGTTTTCATGCTTCCTGAAATTAAGAACAAAAGAATCAGAAGAAAGATATAAGAAATATAAAAACAAGTTAGTATGAATTATAAAAAAACATATGAAAGAATATTACAGTGATTTATTAAACAAAAGTAAGGCTAACATGAAAGAAACATGGCGAGTAATGAATAGTGTCTTAAAGAGACATAAAGCAAGATCAGATATTTCACAACATTTTGTAAAAAAAAAGGAAATGAAACTTATGATCAGAATGAAATTATTTAATTTAATCATTATTTTGTGAATGTTGGCCAAAGTCTTGCAGCTAAAATACCAAAAGTAGATAATAATGTGAGTCATACAGTCATGGGTTGGACCAGCAGTACTCTTGATGGAAASTGACAAAGAAGAAATAATGAATATTGTAAAAAATAAATCTTGCAGACAAAAGATCAAAAGATTGTGTGGACATGATGTTTGAGAAGGAAATAATGAATTATTGAACCATTTACCATATACTGTATGTAATTTATCATTTTCAACTGGTATGTTTCCAGACAACATGAAAGTAGCCAAAGTGATTCCTCTTTTTAAGAATGGTGAGAAATGTTTGTTCAATAATTACAGACAGATATCTTTGTTACCACAGTTTTCAAAGATTTTAGAGAAATTATTTGATTGGATCAATTTATCGATAAACAAAATATTTTTGGGTTTAGAGCTAACATTTCCACATCAATGGCTCTCCTGGACTTTATAGAGCAAATAACAACTGCTGTTGATCAWAAACAGTACTGTGTTAGTGTTTATGTTGACTTGAAGAAAGCTTTTGACACCATTGACCACAATATTCTAGTTGAAAAATTGAACAAATACAGTATTAGAGGACCAGCATTACAGTTGGTGTCTAGTTATTTAAAGGATGGGAAACAGTTTGTACAAATAAATGATACAAGATCTGAATTAAGTAGTATTATATGTGGGGTTCTTCAGGGTTCTGTACTTGGACCCAAGTTATTTATTTTATACGTTAAGGATCTTGTAAGTTTGCAGACGACATTACGTTTTTTGTTTTGGTAAAAATATAGAAGGGATGTTGGTAATGATGCAAACAGAATTTGCTAAACTACAAACCTGGGTTAGACTTAATAAATTATCATTAAATTTAGATAAAACTAATTATATGACATTTAATAATAGAAAGAAAACAGCTGATGTTCCATTTAGAATCGATTGTACTGAGATCTGTAGAGTCAGTGAGGTGAAGTTTCTGTAGATGAAAAGCTGACGTGGAGACCTCATAAATCATTTAAGAACAAAAATAGCCAAATCATTGCAGTATTGTACAAAGTAAAGGATATACACTCACCGGCCACCTTATTAGGTACACCACGCTAGTAATGGTTTTGTGGTCATAAAGGGATGGACATGGTCAG